CCTAGCCACCAGTAACTGTCACGGTCATTATGCATGTCCACAACACACTCGAACTTTGTGCGATATCCTATCCTCAAACTGTTAGAAGTGCTGGTCATTTACTTGCCATTCTAGTATTTATTTATGTTTTACTCTTAGTACTTCTTTGCTATCATGAAAACTTTTTCTTAGTTCAATTGTTTGGAAACATTTAATTTTCTGAATATTGCTTAATCTTAATTTTTGTTCTAAGATTTATGCTGTATCTTTGACTTACAATTTATTTAAAAGACATTGTAGGATATCTTCTCCTAGTATTAGAAACTTTAAAAAGTATATTTCCATTTTCTGTTGACTTTAAAAAAAAAACAGAGGTTTGTACAAAAAAAGAATGTGTTCACACTTAAAAGCTCTTTACATGATAAAAATATTTTAGACATAATCCTTTGAGTATTAAAATCACTAGCAAACTAATGAGTAGAAAAATAAATATGTATTTCTTGTTCTTAAATTGTATTTATTTTCCCAAAGGTCTCATTAAAAAATCAACAAACTACCTCTGATGTCATGTGGATCAGACCAACCACCAAAAGCTCACAATGTTTTCAATATGCAAAGATAATTTCAAGTTAAAACATCAGTCATCAATGGCCGTTGTGTAAGATTTCCTGAAGTGTTTCACTATGTTTCCTTAGGGCGCACATTAAAAAGCTCTGTGGAGGGAGGATAATGTTGGTTAGGGTGATCTAGTATTAGCACATCACTTTTGAGCCTTAGAGTAATTTAATGTTACTATCAATATTAAATGAATTGCAATTATGATTAATTTTATAATTCTAAATGAAAAACAAGAGAATATGAATTTTTAAGACTGCAAGATGTTGGAAGCATTCAAGACATCAATTGGCATACACTAAGTTTTGATTTTACTTCCAGAAAAGGATAAATTCCTTCAGTAGGCTGAAATAGTTTGTAATTCTCCTTCTCAAACATAATCCAACCTGTATCTGATGGTCAAGATTTCATGAGGGGATTTCAGTCATCTAAACTATTTTTGTTAGACAGATTTATTCATAAAATCATAATTTCATGTAAAGATTAATTAAATAATTCTATTCCAAATCCACAAAGTACACTCATCCATTGTTCAATAGGGCTCCCTATAGTTTATTTCTAAAATGTTATCATGACTTAAAGCACTGTAATAGTATTAATGATATGTAGAATGAAAAATAAATCCAAAAGAAAACATTTTCAGAGATGGTATCTCTCCTAACTCATATCATTGAGAATTATTTATCTATCATTAAGCCAAGTTTAAATTTAAGTAAAAAGTTTACTGCCAGGAATAGCTTATAATTTCCCCCCTTTACTGATGCTGCAAGTTCAGCACCACAGACAGCACTAGGCTACCAGAGTCCTGTGCTCTATGGAACCAGCAATTAAAATGAAGAAACACAGAGTGCAAACCTTTCTCACAAGAAATGCTGCTTTCTGTATTAATGATTCAATTCTATAATCACACTTACCATGGACTTAAATTTTAGGAATCAAATTTTGCACAATTTTATTTCTGTTCCAAACTTCTCTTCTACAATAAAAGAGAATTAAAAGAAAGAAAAGAACCTCCAAAAGAATAAGTTTCAGAAGAATGAAGTATGATCAGTGGTACTAAGTTTGGTTGATCTTGTTTTCTTTTTAAGTTTTGTTTTTTCTTACTGCTATTGGATATTAAACTAAACTGCTGAAATAGAAGGAAAACAACCATAGAATTTGCACAGAGAACTGAAGTCTCAGAGAGCAGCGTGCTGTGTGGGTGCACAGCCATGAGCATTTCCACACGAGTGCCATGTGGAAAACCAGAACCCAGCAGCTTTTGTCTCTGGCTAACTAGAGCAGGGAAGGATGAGATGTGAATTTCACTTGCTGATGGGAAGGGTTCCTTCCTGTTTGAAACATGTTATGCCCAAAGGCAAACAAAATAGTTCCTGCTTTTAAATGAATTCAGTTAATTTAAATGTGAATGGGATCACAAGGTGGTTCAGATCAATTATGCAGACTGTGTGTAATTCATCTCCAAGTGATAAGTGAGTAATTTGAAGTCTAAGGAAAATTTTCAAAGTGTCAATGTGAGAGTGAAAACAATACTTCACACTATAGATAAAGAAACAGGAAGCAAATGAGGATTTAAGACATTAAGACTGATGATAAATAAAAAGGCCAAAACAATGTTATTCCATGTTCTAGAGCAAAATTATCCAACAGAAAAGTCATATATGCATCTTTTTTTTCTCTCTATTTTCTTTTGTGGTACCAGGAATTGAACCCAGGGCCTCAGGCTTGCCAGCGAGGCACTGTGCTGCTGAGCCATATCCCTGCCCCCATTTATGTAACTTTAAGTTTACTATCATTCTCTCTAAAAATAAATACATAAATAAATAAATAAATAAATAAATAAGGAATAGGTAAGGTTAATTCTAACAAAATATGTAATTTAGCCCAATATGTTTACAATATTGTCATTTCAATATGTATCAGTATAAAATTATTGATAATCTAGCTTATATGCTTTTCATCTTCAATAAATGATATGCATTTCACATGTACCCCTCACATGCATTCAGACTGTCATTTCAGTTGCCCAGGAGAGATGTGGCTGGAGGATGGGGAAGGGCTGAAAGACATCGTTGCATTTGTTGGAATTTAGAGGTGATTTCATTAGTATTCAGCAGAATGCATAGACTCCTAAATGGTTCCCGTGTTCATGGTGAAATCAACCTTTTCATTGAGTCAGGTTTTTGTACTATTGAACCATTTTCTTACCGAAATAAAAATCGTAGTTTTTACATAATAAAGTTTTCTCAATGGAGTTTTCTTAATCAAATAGAATGGCTAAAAGAATCACGGACTACATTTGCTTATTGCCAATTTCCAGCATATCAATATGTAATAAATATGCAGAGTTTTCCCTGAATTATCACTGTTAAAGTTGTCAGTTATTGTTGCCTTACATTTGTGAGAGTGTTTGTTAGGAAGCTCCTTCTGTATTTATAAATGTATGTTTTCCTATCAATGTGTAAACTTTATTCCTATACACTAGAAACAAAGATGTATTCCTTTAATAAACAATGAACCACTGCCATTGAAGAACCAAACCTATTTATCTAATGATTCCAACTCATATATAGCTGTCAAAGAAATTTCGGATGGAATTTAATGTAGAGTTCAGTGGGAGAATTAAAAGCCACACTGATCTGTAAAATTCTAAATCTGGTTGGAAAAGTTGTTATTTACTGTGGTATCATATCTTGAAATTGAAAAGGGTAACCTTATTTTAAACTCACCTGACTTCCAATTTGAATAATGATAAAGATTTTAAAATGTGAAAATTCAGAATTTGAGGATAGGATATATTGACCTATTTAAAACTGTATATATCTTTGACAGTAATTCCTATCAGTGAAGCCATTAACAGAAGCTTAGAATGTCCACAAAGAGAGAAATCATTATGCCTAAATGATGTAGAAGCATAAGACAGTTTTCTAGAGCAGATAAAAAATGATGTTTATATAGTGAGTTCTTTGGCTAAGCATAACGATAATTACATTCTAATTATTTGGGATCTGGTGGCCTCTGTTATTTATGAACAAAAATAGCATTGCTCTTTTGAGCTAGAGAAAAGAAAGTAATTTAAGAAGAAAAATTCCCCATTGACAATGTAATCATAACAAGTCATTGCAGTAGGTAATCTGCCATCCTGGCCAAGTTATAGAAATCATCACTTTTTAAATCACAGTTACATCACTTACCCAACTTTTTGCTTCTATCTTAACTGTCCTAGTAAAAATCACTATGTGTTGAAAGGAAGAGAAAACAAACTAGGAGAAACTGTGGCAGAAGGTACAAGGATACAGTCCCTTCCTGGAAAGAGGATTTTGTGACGAACCATTTCTCCCATAATGCATCCCACAGACCATATATCCACTGGAACAGGAGCAAAGGGGAAGTGAAGAGAAAGGAGGGAGGGAAGGTTAACTAAAATAATTACCTCTGAAGGAGGAGGAAAAAGAACAGTTTGATTAGAAAGCACAATTTCTGCCTCCCACCGAAGGTGTCCAACGGATGAATAGAAACCATCACGTGCTTTACTATAATCAATGTCAAGCCAACGAATGTAAATCAATGTCTTTCTAAAAAGTATTACTGCATGGATGTCTGAGATTACCCTTCTAATACTACAGGATGGCACAGAAAAGCAGTAACTAAACAAAAGCATCTCCGTGATAAGCGAAAGCTAAAGGTCACCCTGGAGTATCTTTTATATTACTTGTCACATACAAAACAATCATGCCAATCACTCTGTAGGGGTGACGGCTTGGGTTTTTATTCTATTTAGTTATGTAGAGTAGGGCAACAAAAGAGTACTGTGTTTGTGTGTGTGTGTGTGTGTGTGTGTGTGTGTGTGTGTGTGTGTTTCCAGAATAAATGGCTGAAGCCGTGCTTTATTATGTGCAGGACTGGCATTCTTAGCACTTAGACTTATAACTTCAAGGATTATTCTTCCAAGCAAATATCTGATTTAACATCTACTTGAAATATTTAGAGAAAATATGTGATAAATAAGCACTTGACTAAGGCAGTCATCTACAGGTACAGTAAAAAATAAAAGGCACGCGAAGTGCTAAAATGCGTCAAGTACGTACATACACGTATGTGTTGCCCTCCCACTCGCCATCCCGGCGAGTCAAGCATGCCTTGCCTTCTCTTACCAACTTTATCCATTCCCAAGTCACCTTTCTCGGGGACAAAAGGGACTTTGGGCAACAACCGGAGGCTGCACTGCTCTGTGGGAGGAGGGGTGCGGTGCGGGAATGGAGGGCATGCCCGGGAGCAAGCGGGTGTCTGCGTCACCTTCCTTCACCATGCGCCCAAGAAGCCAGACACGGAGGCAGCGTTTGCAGCCCTTTCTAGCGAGAGGAGAAAGGGGTGTGAATGCCTGCACCCGTGGGGCAAAGGCCTTAGAAGCCAGAAGCGGCAGATTCGGACCCCGGCTCTCTTACATCCTTAATCATTTCTTTTATTGACACATAATAATCATACCTATGTGGGGTACAACGTGATATTTGATGCTGAACACAAGGGCAGCAATCAAGTCAGGGTAATTAGCATATCCACCACCCCAGACATTCACCACCCCATGCAAGGCCCCAGGTCTACCAGCACTCTGGAAGTGTACAATTAATTTTGTTCAACTAGAGCCCTTTGTTCTTCACTTTTCTCCAATCAGATCCTTTCTGGCTTTTAAGATTTGACTGGTGCAGAACACCCGCAATCCAGAGTCCCTCAGAAGGAAGCTGCACTCACCCCTGACCCTGGCCACCAAGTTCATTAGCCCCGCTTGCTTTTTTCTCTTTTCTTTTCTTTTTGCTTTTCTTTGCTTTTCCTCTCCTTCCTTCCTTCCTTCCTTTTCTTTCTTTCTCTTTCTTCTTTTTTGAGGAGGATCTCTCTACATAGTTTACTCAGGCTGGTCTTGAACTCACTATGTAGTCCAGGCTGGCCTTGATCTCACAGAAATCCTCTTGCCTCAGTCTCCAGAGTTCTGGGATTGCAGGTGTGTACCACCATGCCTAATTGTGTGTGTGTGTGTGTGTGTGTGTGTGTGTGTGACTGTCCTTCAAGCTGATTTTCTCTTTCCTCTGTACAAATCTATAAAAGTATTTGCTGTCTTCAGTGGCCATAAAATTGTCATAAAACATCCTGTACCATGTGTACATAAAAATGCAATGAAAGTTATTTTTGTTTACTATATAGAAATAGACTACTTGAAACAAAATAGAATATTAAAACAAATATGAAAGACACATTGGAAAGACATATAGTTTAAAACTGTTATTTCTAAAGCTATGAAATATGTTTCTTAATAAGCTATGCCACTTAGAGAAGTCTGGACAAAATCTGATACTGCCAGGTTTTCTAGCAGTAGTATATAAATTCTCCATTTTATTCAATCATAATCCAATTTGAATATATTTGAATAAGCACCCCTTTTAAGTTTTAATTTTTTAAATATTTTTCAGATAGATTTCACTATGTATTTTAAGTGGCCTTAACCTCGCTTTGTAACCCTGGCTGGTCTTTGTAACCCTGGCTGGTCTTTAACTCATGGTGATCCTCCTGCCTCACTCTCCCAAGTGCTGGGATTACAGGTGTGCACCGCCACGCCCAACTATACCCTTCTTGTAAAGTGTCCATGTATACTTAGTTTTCTCTCTGAAGTAATAATGTACCATAAAATTTTTTTCCTTTATGTGGTCTGTAAAACTTTACCACACAACTGAGACCCTAAATAATCCTTCCAGAGCACTTTAAAGTATGAACAAACTTGTTACCCAACTTGAGTAGTGTGGGTTATTACAACTGGATTGTTCCTGTGATGTTCACAAGGCCTCTACTGCTGGGCTTTCCTTAGCATGGGACCCGTACGGTGGAAGCCAGGAGCATGAGTGGGGCAGATGTCCTCCTGTTTGCATACTCACTCTTACCTGAGGTGCAATTCCAACAATAATTTCCTCAATATCAGTGGCATCTGTGCTAATTGACACCTCTTTCATCAGACTCCACTTTCAGTTGTCCTTAGCTGTAACATGTTAGTACTCTTCTTCCAAAGCTCACTTCTTAAAAACATTCTTCACATTGTTAAGGAGTTGTTTTTCTAGTAGTAATTTTTCTTAAAAATAACTAAATTTGAAAGCTGGCAGCTCTATTTTTGAGACATTCATATTTATGAAAGACAACGTGCTCCCATCTGTGTAAACCACATGCCTACTGCTCCCTGGTTTCAGAAGCTTCCTACCGTTCTCCTTGTAGCCCATGCCCAGGATGACCTCAGGGGCTCGGTAGTAACGCGTCACCACATACGGCGTCATCATGAAGCTTGTGCCAGCAGTCCTGGCCAGTCCGAAGTCCAGGATTTTCAACGTGCAATCAGACTTGACTACAATGTTACTTGGTTTTAAATCCTGACAATGGGAACATGAGAGGACATTACAAGCCTGTATCTTATAGAATTTAGAGTCTCATCCATCCGTCAGTGTGTCATATGGGATCTCTTCTTGCCTGCATAGCCCTGTATAAGGTTTATGGCTATGAAGAAGTTGACAACTTGTTTGGGGCTTTTAAAAAAGAGCTTCAGAAAAATTTTTAAATCTTTAAGAGAACTATACTATCATTTTCACAACTTAGGCTCATCTTGAGAAGTTTTAGAAAAAAAAATAAAACAATATATCATTTATTGTCTTCTCCATTTTCTCCTTAGGGTAATCTAATTTCTTAGTATGTATTTCACTCCCAGACCTGACAGAAGAGAATTGAGAGTAGGTGTCTCTATGAACTGCCTTATTCCACCTGCCTGTACAATCTGGGAGGGAGAAAGGGTAAGATCACTCAGAACTGAAACATGTCACACAAAGTCAACTGTAGTTTGGCTAGAAGTTCCTGCTACACATTAGTGATCTATACGCTAAAGGAAAAGATCTATAGCTTTTCCTTCTCTTCTTCAAAAGACTCTTTGCCATAACTATGCAGTCAGTATCCTTACCCTGTGAATAATTCCAGCGGAGTGCAGATGCTTGATACCACACAGCATTTGATATAGCAGATAGGACATCCGCTCATGGTCTAACTCCATCTGAATCACCTGGCACAAGTTGGCGTCCATCAGTTCCATTACTAAGTAACTAGAAGGTAAATCCACAGTGTCAGTTCCAACAACTAGTGAAAATTTTCAGACAGGTTAAAATTCTCTACTAGATCTATAAGTTTGCCGAGTTTCCCCGGCTCTGTTTTAGACAGAGCCAGAATGTGAAAACTTGCAATCTCCACATACGTTAGCTCTAGTGATTCTGTCCCCAGGCTGCTACTAGAAGCACTACTGATGAATGTGTGAGTCACACCTACACATTCTTATTTTCATTTTGCTCTTGAAACTCCCTCCATCCCATCAACTTTTTCTTGACTATTATGATTATAAATAAGAAAATTAAATTCAGGATAGCTACTTCCACTAAAGCAATGCTAAGGAATTGCTTCCTCTCTTCTCCAGGTAGCTGTAGTTCTAGGTAGCTTCTTCTTGTACAGAATCAAAATGGAAATAAAATATAATTTTATTGTATCCCTTGTATTAGTATTCCTCAAAGTAAACTGACTCTTCCCAGAAAGGGCACAGAATTAACTAATAATAAATAAATGCATAAATATGACACATCCTCTCCTGATTGAACAAGACCACTGAGCCTCAAAGCACATGGAACCCAGAAGCCACAAGGAAGACAGTGATTCTCAAGAAGTACCACCACCAAGAGTCTTCTGTGTGGGTCCAGCTCTTACCTCCCATTTGATTACTACAAAGCTCTCATCTCTCTGTCTTCCCATTTTTTCCTCACTTCCCCTCGAGTTACATGAGTGCTGGCTCACCCTTCCTCTGGAGCTAGTTACTTACACGTCCTGGAACTCCTCCAGCGTTTTCTGGGGTGTGAAGACATTTAATAAGCTAATAATCTGGAAAAGTATAGGAAGGCACAGAGGGAAGAGAGAAAGAGAGTGAGCTATGTAAAAATCATATTCAAGCATGTTCCAAATGAAAGTCACTCACTAGGGCTATGGTAGAAATGTGAAAGTTGAGAAAACTTTCTAAGCTGTCTCACAAAATGTGGAAAAGTATGTTCAGAAAGATATTATGATCTGTTTTTAGGTTCATAATGCATTTAAAAGCTTATGTTTCCAGGCAGCAGGAAGAGCCAGAGAAGACTGGATAACTGTAGACTGCTTTAATGCAATTCTGCCTGGTAGGACGGAGAGCAGTAGGTGATCTAATGAAGAGGAGGCAAAATCACATGAGGGGAGAGAGAGCAGCCTGGGAAACTCACAGCTGGACTTGTCAAGATGACATCTTCTGCCAAATGCATAAAATACCCTTATAGTTCAAGACATATTTTCTACTGCTACTATAGTTTCTTTTGCTTTTATCTCACACTAAATATTACTTAAACTAATGCTCTAATGGTGCATGTAGGGGAGGAATTACATACTAAATAACTAAGGGTGCATTTAGTGGAAAGTGCACTTAAAAAATTACCTAAATTCAGTTCTAAATTTTTTTGTTCATCAGACAATGAAATTCACCTTCTAGAATTCATATACTTTTAAAAGCCCTTTATTCCAGTTCCATATGAATTACATACATAAATAACTTAAGATGTTCTTCCCTCTAAATATCCCATATTAATGTGCCAGTCAAAGAAGGAAAATAAAAGATATAAATAACAATCTTATACTTACAAGTTGTTTGTACCTGTGTTACAAAAATGGGGTAAGTACAAGTTGAAGATTTAAATAGCTTCAAAGTGTCAGTTTGTGAATTTTAGTAAACTCCATAAGTGGCACAGAAACATATGAAGTACTTAAAAGCAAAATTATTTCCAACACCTGAGGAGTGCAGTCATTTCTGTGCAACATTTTTCATTTCTTAAGAAATTACTGAGAAAAATATCATAGTACCATCCAAAAATTTCTAGTATAAAACCATATGGTAGTGGTTCTAAGTATAAATAAAAAACTCAAGATTATATCTTATAAAGCAACTTTACAGTATGAAATATAGGTATAAATCAACAATTGCTTCAAAATATCTTTAAAATTTATAATGAAAGTACTTGATATCCTTTATGCCTAATTGTGGTAGGTGTTGAAAACGTTGTTACAATATATCTTTCATTTAAACATTTGTAGTGACTCTGCTCTTAAGCACTTTATCAATCTCATAAACATTTCATTTGCATATTTATTTACATAAAACACATTGGAGACTGCACAGGTCATGTACTTGAACAAGCAAGAGAAATGTTAACCTCCACCATCAGTAAACAAATAAACTGACTAACATGAATTAGTCTATAAAGTAGCATTACAATCTTAGGTACATCTAGATTTATTGTTTTACAAGATAATTTCCCAAGCTCTATTCCCCATCGTCTATTTTTATTTTCCTCTTGTCTATGTTCTTGTTTTATAAACTTTCCATCTCTGATTTCCCTTTTAGATATTCTCTCATTTTTGTTCTTTGCTCCCTTACAAATTTCAATTCCTGCCATAAGCAACTCAATAATTTATCTTTAAGAAGAGATCATCACAGGGGCTGGTGAGATGTCTCAGTGGTCTAAAGCACCTACTTAGAACAAGCTTAGCAAAGTACAGGGACCACGGTTCAATCCCCCAGCACCACATGCCAGCCAGCCGCGCCCCCTGGTGGGCTGAGCTGGCCACACACACACACACACAAACACATAAATAAATAAAAATTTTTTTAAAAAAGAAAAGATCATCACAGATATTTCATTTGAGTTGCACAGTTTCCAGCAGGAGCTGGACCCCATGTTTTGAGAGTTGTGTGAGTCCATGTTGTTGTGACCTCACAATCACATCACTCCAGGTACTCTGTCTTGCAAGTGAGTACCCACTTTCTAAAGGGAGTTTTTTCACTATTGTTAAAGACTTTAAAAGGCCTTGGTGTTTTTGGGGTTTTTTCCCCTAGTGGTGTTAACAGAGTTCTCTATTGTAACTGCCTTTTCTTAATAAAGTAAGTACTAAAGTAAGAGTTAACAGCCAGGTGTAAGGGAAGCTCCTCTAGTAAAGAAATGCATTTCTGTAGACAGATACGTATACCTATATTATAACGTGCACATGGGGAAGGACAGCACAGGCAAGATACCATTGATAAATTGTCACTGCAATTTGGAACTCCTTTTTAGGTATCATTAGTGCTGGGATGACAGATGACTGAATTAAAATGCCAATGTCCCAAAAACTCAAGAGCATGAAAAGAATCTGATTTAAAAGTCACTGGAATAGAGTACTAGAGGAAAAGAAAAATACTTTCATTGGCCTGAACCTACGCACTTATATTTCAAATATCTTTCAGTCAAACACTCATACATTAGTGTGCCCTTGGTGCCACTGGTAGATGGTGTCACCTTGTTTAAGCTGGGTATTGTAGTGCATGTCTGTAATCCCAGCACTTGAGAGGCTGAGGCAAGAGGATCCTTGAAAATTTGAGTCCACTCTGGGCTACAAAGCGAACTCAAGGCCTGCTTCAACTGCATAGTAAGAGAGAGAGAGAGAGAGAGAGAAAAGAAGAAAGAAAGAAAGAAAGAAAGAAAGAAAGAAAGAAAGAAAGAAAGAAAGAAAAGAAAAAAGGAAGAAAATAAAAAGCAAACCTTTTTTATATGACAACCAATTAATTCATATATTGTGTGATTTTTATGCATGAGAAATTGCAGGGAGTTATGATGGCCATTATTATTGTCTTAAAATTTATTTTTATTATCTCCTTACATATAACAAAATGTACTTCATAAATCTATTATAATTAGTTATTAAAACAGTTATTATAAAGGTAATGCTTTATCTCACATTTCTCCTAACTAAGGAGATACAGAGCACAGAAAGCGTTCTAGAGACCTCTGTTTGGCATAAAGAGTTGAGACTCTGAAGTGTAGAATGTCATAGTCTCCCCACTGAGCTCATGTGAGAAAATGCTCTCAGTGATCCACTCTGAATTGCTTTGAAGATATGTACTTCCCAATGTGCCTGACCCTCCAAAATCTAAGATGCAGGCATACAGTGGTTACCCTGCGTGGTCAGTTGGAGGCCACGGCCAGACTACAGCTAGAGTACAAAGGAAATAACAGTGAATAAAAATCTCCATCTGTTATTAATTCATTTTAAATTATGAATAAATATGGCATACTGTTATATAGAGTTTTTACTAGGTTTTGTGGGGGAGGGTTAAAGGGAAATACTTGTTTGTTTTCTTTGAAAAGCATGAAGTCTCCTGTTAATAGGATCAAGATAACTAAATAAGGTTAATTATGCAACAGAGACATGTCTATCAAATTCATCTCCATGCCATATGGCTTTTTGATGATCTTTAAGCAGGAAGCTACCATGAGGACAATGAAATCACATACAGCATATGGGCAAGATAAACGATCTTCAGAAGCAGAAATTGCAAAGCAAAGAAAGCCTTTCCTACTCAAGTTGCCATTGATTTTCATGTTTTAATCTCACAACTTCCCACTGGCAGAGGTTTCCAAATAACAAGGAAACTCACGTTTTTATGATTCACACATTTCATGAGGACCAGCTCCCGGTAGGCTCTTTTGGCATGTGTTTGGTTCTGAAAGGGTCTGCTGAGCTTCTTAATGGCCACATTTCTGTCCAGGACAGCATCGTATGCAGCACTGCAGAGATTCAAGCACAAGCCAGAATGAATAGCAGAAGATCCCTAGAATCCTTACGCACTTAACTAAGGGATAGGTAAAGAAGATGTCATGTTGGCATCCTATTTAGACATCATTTTCTCTAGTCACATCACTATAGCTGCAAGAAAGAGTGACTGGTGAAAGAAGGAAGGGAGGAAAGTGGGGAGAAGAAGAGTGGAAGGAGGGAGAAGGGAAGGGTGCTGTCTCACTAAGAAAACAGCATATAATTGTATTAGTGGGTTTCATATGTGGGGAGAAGAAAAATAAGTGCTCAGATTTTCCACTGGCTCTGTGACCATGTCAAGCCACCTCATATCTCTGGGCTTTGCATCCTCATCTATTAGTAAATAGTACTTAAGTATTCTTCAGGAAGACACGCAGTAGGCTCTCTGGTTATTTTAAGTCAACATTCATCTCTGTCTCAGGCTCAGGAGCCAGTCTTTAAGGTGTGTTGCTAATTGCCAGGAAATCACAGGTCAGTGGATAACCAAAGTGGGCTCATTCACAATAACAAAGCTCCAAATGAGGATGCAATCAGAGCTTTCAGAACCACAAATAACTTGACTGAAATACAAAGACAGAAATAAATGTTGCTAACATCCGAAGCTTTCAAACTGCCGAGAATAATTTATCATGCTGTGAAAAAGCAATCACAACATATGGTAAAGTTTCTCTCATGCTCAGAATACATGGGGAGAAGATCAAATGAGCAAGTGAGGGGTTCTTCTTGCTACTGTACTAAATGATGTTTTCCCAAAATGTTTGTCTCTTGTGCCTGTAACTTTGAATTTTGCTGGGTTTTGTCTTGTTTTCCAGAAGAAAGACAGAAACCAGGATTGCCTATAAATGATTTATCAAATTGGAAGTGGCTCCATTTAAGACTTATGCTACTGAACTAAAAGACAAAAAGTTGGCAAATTACTGTGCTACATGGTAAAAATAGATGCATAAGCTAAGTTTTAGGGCTCATCTGGACCATGCCTCCACTTAGTATTCACCCTTCTAAAATATCTCTACCAACATTTCATTCATCATTGCTTATATACTTCCAAAAGCAGAACTCATTAATATCAAGGCAGTTCATTCTGTTATTAAACAGCTTTAAGAGTAGAAAGGCCATAATTCTACTAAACAGAATTGTCTATCTCTCTGGTTCTCACTGACTACTGTTAACCTTGCCTTTGAGCCAACTCAAAATAAACTTACTTTCTCGTTATCAATGACTATGTAGTTTGAAATCTATGAAAGGACAGAACACAATGGCTGGCCTAGAGTGAGCTCTCAGTGACTCAACTTTTATTATTTCTACCCAATTTCTTTCACAATTTTCCCATCACCGGTCACTTGTCACCATTTGTCAGAATGTGATTGCAAATCCCGTGTTCATTTGGTTAGTTTCCCATGACTATGTTTCAGTCTGCCCATGATCTATGAAAATGTGGGCTCTGAGCTAAATAAAACATTGCATGGAGAACTGCACAAGATTAGTGCAGGGCCTTTGAGTCCTTCACCCATTCATATGTTCATTTATTCAACAACCATCTTCTGACACTGTTAATGCAGCAAAATCTGACTTGGCATCTTGAAAACACCACACATGATGCACCTACAGTAAGCCTATATTAATTAAAAATACTGCCCCTCAATACTTGTGCTGCTGTTGTATTACTTGTGTCAACGTTGGTATTTCTGTTATACTATTTGCTCATTGTAATTAACCAGTGCAGCACAATTAAAAGAAAGAGTCGGGGGCCAGGGAGATAATAGCTCAGTAGAATAAGCACTTGCCTTACAAGCACAGGGTTCTGAGTTCAATCCCCAGTACCACAAAAAAAAAGAAAGAAAAAGAAAAAGAAAGAGTCAAGTAACCTGTATCTTGTACGTAAGACACAAGGACAAGAATAGATTTGAAAATAAAGGAACCAAACTTCAAGAATTTAAGTAAGTTATCCACAGAAAATGGACAGTTCACTTTAAAGAAGACTGAGTTGTAAGCCAAAAACAAGTTAGGGAAGATATCTTTTAAAAGCAGAAAAGCTGTCACTCCCAATGGTCTATCAAAGAGTCAGAGACAGAAGTTATGGCCACATTAGACACTGTCCTTGCAAGTGGACCCTAGGATCTTGTCAGCCAGGCAGAAAGCTTCCCCCACTCTGATGGTCAGAGGCTGCAGGACATTGACCTTCTGATTAGAGCCTGCTGAGGCTGATTCTATCCTCCGCTGTCAGCATTCTGTTTACCGGGCTCTCCCTAACAGTGTTACATGCAAGAGTATTGCCCTATTGGTTCAGCCTGACTGTTCTAGTTCTCACAACTTAACACACTGACATCTGGTTTTCATATGTGAAATATTTTTCTAAATAAATGTCCTAGGATGCATATAATGCAGCATAGGACAAGCCATAAATGCTGAGGGTATATACAACCATCAGGCATGTGCCTCTTAATCAGGAATATCTAGTCTTCCTACTAACTACAAATACATGTTATTGTGCCACTATCTTGATCGTATTTCACAAGGTTGTCCCATAATATAAAAAAGACTGAGTAAAAAACCTGGTTCAGATCTAGATGGATTATAACCCTATAGTTCTCTAACTTCCCCATTTGGTAAAGCAGTTTTGTATCACTTGTTTTGAATGAAACAAACTTATTCCCAGTTATCTCTGTATATTTCTTAATATTTCATTTAGTATCTTTTCCTAGCAAATGTCAGGCTCAGTAGATACGTCTTATAAGTAATTTTTCTTCCCTCTAAAGAAATAAGAACTTTGTCTACAGTTACGTGGAATTCTGGCTCACTGAACATCACGTGACCCCTCACCCCTCTCATGGCAGCGTCCTTTCCTTTCAAGAGCTTGCAGAGCTCAGTGTGCAGTGCCAGAGCTAAGGCAATGCTAGATCGCTGGCTCTCCTGAGGTCCTCCATGTTCTCCAGGACAGGTAGGTAAGGCAGAGGTGAGCAAGTGGGCATCTTCTGACAGCTTGTGGCTGCCACGCTGAATCTGCAGGACTCGTGGTGTGAGAGGTTCCCAGCTCCCCAGCTGAAAGGAGGAGCTAAGGCAGAGCCAGCAGTGACTCAGGTTCCAGTACTGGAACTCTACCAGGCACAGAAGTAACAAGCAGCAACAAGGGCCCAGTTCCAGCTCCAGGACTCCAGGCTCAGCTACGACCTGTGCTCTGGGAGCACAGGGTTCTAGGCCACTCACAAAGGGCAGCACCCTGGAGATTCAGCTTTCCAGCATCTGTGAGTACTTGATTATGGCCAGGCTGAAACCTTTCCAGTGGTTTTGCAGACATTCGTTTGACTGCATTAAGTTTTCACCTGCTGAGCCTTTTGTCTCTTACTCTGAACCCTGGATGGTGTTACCATCGCCGGATCTCAGGACTCCCAGGTGGCCGCAAGCGACAGCGCAGCCAGTGTTGCAGGCTCGCAGACCGCATCGTTGGCACCACGCAGGCGCAGAGGCGTGTCTGCTAGCATCCTATTACTTTTCAATCATAATTTTTAAAGTCTTATTCTACAGAGTTCTACTATTTTTCTTCCAAGCAGTTTCTTTCTCTTAGCCACAGAAATGTTAAAAAAAATAAATAAATAAAAGTGGAAACAAATCAATGAATATTTTCCATCCCCAACTTTCTAGCAACTTTGCCGAAGACAGATTTTTCCAGCAACTTATACATATGCAATACTAACCCACCTCCATACTACCAGGTCTATTCCTAAAAGAAAAGATACAGCCTTCTGTTATTTAATCCAGTTGATGCTGTAAAGCTATGATTATCTCCTTGTATAAATTTACACAAGGACACACACACATGCACACACTGACTGGCAAGTCTTATTCTCAGCAGATTTATCAGTTTTTTTCCTTCTACCGATTGCAGATAAACTTTTACATAAATCTTTCTCCTGAGGCATAACAAATTATTTGATAATTCTTCCTATTCCTTTTATGTTTCAAATTTAAAATGTTCTGAATAGCATTAACAGATTGGAGATGGGGGATCTCTATGCATCATGAGAAGAACTTTATCTCTTCAATAATAACAAAACAACCCAAATATCACTGGAGCATCTTAAACATCACATGCTGTGAACTAGAAAGTCAAACTCTACCCTGGAATACACAGATATGGCAGCCTTATTCTCTGGTCCCTTGTTTCCATATTTTGACTTTGCCTTTTTCTAAAGGCCTGAAGTGAAAACGATAAAAAAAAAAAAAAAAATTCTTCACCCAGTGCCTTCAAATGTGTGACTCTTTTTTACAGAGAGAACAAAATAAAAGCAATACAAAATTCCAAAACAAGATGATAGGAAATTAGTGATAGTTATTATATTGGATATTGTTATCTTCAAAATAGTTGCTCAGGTTATAAGATATAGACATATCATGTTGATCAAACAATATAAGTTCTAGCTTTTACTCTCAATGAACTAATAGAAATTAGTAGTACAGTTATCTGAGTTACCTTGTGTGCACACATTTTTAAAATTTTCATATATATATATATATATATATATATATATGAAATTTTTTTCTTTTCTTTCTTTTCTACTTTCCCTCTTACAGTCTCCCCACTGAAAAAACTGAAATAGTAAATAAGATCCCAAAGGTACAATAGTTATTGTGAAAGCAAAAGAAATTGCTGAAAAGGAAATATATGGCTTTTATGACCAAACATTATCTGCTATATGCAACCATTGTGGACTGTGTTGTTGAACCTGCCAAGCTCACTTCTGGCCTGGGGCTTTTACAATTGTTCCTCTGCCTGCCAGGAAGGGTTGTCTCACACCTTCCCTTAGCTGGCCTCAACTCCTAGCTCAGGTTTCAATCCAAACAGCTCTTCAGAGAGGCCTTTCTTCATCACCTCATCAAAAGTCAACAAAGCTGACTTTTGGTTCATTATGTCATTGACTTGTTGGGCTGCATGAGTTCAATTCTATTTACCAGGGATGTTTTAGATTGTAAGTAATAG